CCTGTTTATTTCTATTCTATTCTATTCTATTATAACAAATAGCTTTACTAATAGGTTTGTGTTTCCGATTTTTTGAAAAACGATAGAAGATATTGATTATATGAAAGTAGTATATTGAATAATATGTCTGTATATTATATAAATGTAAATGATTTGTCATAATTGTAATATAGTTGGTTTTAACAAAATTGATTTCCGCAGTAATATATTGAATGATTATTATATTTAATTTATTTTTAAATAATTAAATTTTCTAAGTAGAAAAAATGAAAAGTATTTTAGAAAAATATTTTATGGGCTTATTCAACAATATATCTTTAACAAAATTTCATACTTTAATACTTTTAACTATATTGGTTGAAATGGATATTGAGTAGTTTTGGATACTATTAAATAACCATTACCAATTATTTTTATTTAAATGTATTTAAGTTTAATTATGTACTATATATTTACTTACACTGCGTTTGGCAGTAATAACTCTTATATTTTATAGTAATTCTATACAAAAGTGCGCTAATGAGGTTTGATAATTAACATATAAGTGTAAGCATAGTATAAAGTTGCCAAATAGGGAATTTTCAAAATATATATATATATATACCTTATTATAAAGTATTATTATAAAATCTACAGAGTATTTTTGGGTATTAAAAAAGTTCTTCACAATTTTTAATTATAATAAAAATTGGTAAAAAATGATATTTAAAATCATTATTATAAAAATTATAATTTAAATATAATGAAATTATGATTATCTAATTCTAGAATTTTTTTAATGTACCGTTAATTTAGATTTATTTTCCTTAAGCAGGATTTGTGCAACTTTTATTGTAATTTGGTTAAATTATCTTTTGCTCATTTAATTTATCTGCTTGGGTATTGCAGTAGTGAGGGAACAGATCCAGAGTTTCTATCTGACTTTCATAGCATCTAATGAGATCAGAAATATTGAATCAAAGAATATTTTATGATTTATCAATAACTTCAACTTGTCCAGATTTGTCTAGATGCATTGACTTCCAAATGATTTCATAAGTAAAAAGAGTTAAGATTTTATGTTAAACCTTAATTCTAAATAAACCTTAATCTAACCTATCGTAGCCTAGGTTACGTTTTTATGGGATAGTGCAACATAATTTTTAGGCCCGAAAGCTTTTATGAAATCAGTTCAGTGTCTCCATTTGACTTTCAATGAATTATATAAGGTCTGAAAACTCGGTTATGATGTTGTGTTTATCAATATGTAAGAACATAAATTTATATTTGTATAGGTATTTGTAAGATAATTATACTCAATTAGATTATTTTTAAATACAATATGTATATATTGGATATAATGATATTTGTTCTTATAATATAACTTAATTCAACTTTCTTTTAACAGGGAAGATATTAGTTGTGCTTTTACAGTACAAAAATATTTCTTGTTGATCTGTCATTTGTTTTTGTAGAATCGGTTCTAATGTATCTTAACCTTATATTTTCTTACAGTTGTCAAGCAGTTATTTCGTAAATATATTATTTTATTTAAGGAACTACTTTTGATGTATATTTTAGAGCAAAGTTATATGTGGATCTATTTTACTCAAGCATATGGCTGTGTACCTACAGTAATAGACATGTCCGTACATACATTTTGTACTACACAACGATAATGCATTTATGGGTGTAAATGCATGTGATAATATTCATTTTTTCAGATTAACATATTCATACATATATATATATATATATATATAAAATATAATATATAAGTATATATATGTGTTATTTTTTTTCGAAATAGAAAATAATTTTTATATTTATTTTTAGGGCTTTATCACTTAAATTTAAAACTACACATGCCCCACCCGGTGATGTCTTAGTCCACAAAGGCGATGTCTTAACATCTTTATTTTTTATAGCTAGAGGTTCAATTGAAATTCAAAGAGATAATACAGTGGTAACAATATTGGGTAAGTTTCAAATTTACTACATTCATAACATTATTATCAACCTTATAGATATAGCGAGCAGAATTCGTATAAAATTTGTAATAACGTTTATCCAAAGTTAATTTAAAGAATGTTGTTTTATGATATATGATCACCAATATTCGAAATTGAATTGGCAAATAAAGAAGAAGTACATTATTATATTAAATGAATATGTGTAAACTTCAATTTTATTTATTGGATGAAATATCTGTTAAGTTTATTTTAAAATAATTAAAATTAACATATATGTAATTTTTTATTAATAATTATAGGGAAGGAGGATATTTTTGGAGAAAATCCTTGCATGTATCCGAATATTGGAAAATCGAATAGCAATGTACGTGCGCTTACTTATTGTGATTTACATAAAATACATCGAGATGACTTATTAGATGTATTGGAATTGTATCCAGAATTTTTTAATGCTTTTGTAGCGAACTTAGATATAACATATAATATGAGAGATGTAAGTTTCACACAAATTTTTTTTTTAAATTTTATAAAAAGTGCGTCAAATATTTTCAAGACCTATTGTATAATCTATAACAGCATGTTTGACAGCATGTTCATTTTGTAAAAATTTTTGTACTGGCTTAAATCTATTTATATATATATAATTATTTTCTCATATCTTAAAATTACAATTCAGAGTGCGGACAATATTCTTACTAAGGACGTGTGCGAGTTAGGCTAAGTTGATGCTAAACCAAATGGGAGATTTTTTCGGATTTTTTACACTGCACACATTTGGCCATTTATCAACACGTATCGACACATCACTACATTATCGGCACAACTTAGAATTTCCCACATTTAGAACGCAACTTAGCTTAACTCGCACACGACCTAAAGATTATTTTACGTTATGTATTCACACTTTTATTTTACTCAGTATTTATTAGCAAATACTGCTTTACCACATATGTCTAGCATTTAGAACTACGGTTTGAAGACATTAAGATTTTTGTTCTTTCACTTCACTGAAAATCAAATTGAGTTTTAACTATATCCCGTTTAGTTACATGTCAAGAACTTTACTTTTAATAACATATACTTTTTCATTAATAGATTAGAAGTTGGATATATTATTTACCAACTAAGTCCTATAGATAGTTACCTACATTTTCGTATATAATATAAACTACAGGAATTTTTCAGTTATATTAAATTTTTCTTTAATATATGTAAAATATTTTTTTTTCAACTGTTTTTTATAGGGTGTTCAATAATAAGGTGTTTGATCTTATTGTATATTTAATATAAAAGCTATAATAAAAATTACAATAGTAGCATTCTATTAAGTTTTTGGAGACACTTTAGAAAAATAAAGATTATCTATTTATACTGTTAATTTTTATAGGAACAACAAATTGCCGTTGATGTCAAACATAGATATATACGAGCAAGATGCGGAGATTCTGATAGAAGCACCAGTGATATTAATTCCGTGAGAATGTAAGACCTTTTTTGAAATGATATTAATATTTTAAAGAACATAAATTAATTAAATTGATCCGATATATTTTTAGTTATGGTCCGCGAAATAAAATGCAAAAAAATGGTAATATTCGTAAAAAAATTATGCACGAACCATCTTTAGCTGGTAATAATCAACTAGGCAATATCGAGAAATGCTGTGGATGCAAAAACAAAAGTATGTATTAAGTTCAAGGATCAATTTTTATATTCTAATATATTGTAAGTAACTGCAAAATAAACATATATTTATTTGACTACAGAGACTTATAGTCCGATTTCTAAAAAACTGTTTTTTAACTTCGTGTTTAAATTCGATAATAACTTTTTACTTCATTAGTAATATATATTACGTATATATATTAAACGTTTAATGATCGACACTAGTGGATATTAAAATTTTATGAAAATGAAGAAGTTATAATCTCTCTATTAATCAAAAAAATTTTTCTTCTCCGGTAAAAATTTATTATTTCATTTTATTTTAATTGCATACTTGTAGGAGCAAAACAAATTCAATTTTAAAGATAACTTTATAATAATTTATTATTGGAAAATAAATAACTTAAATATAGTATAGATTTATTATGAACAGAATTTATAATATTTGTATAAAATATTTTTTTAATTCTAATTCGAAAAATATGCAACTATTATAAGAGAACTTACAAAAACTAGAAACAATGAGTTATTGCATTGTTCAGCACAGAAAATCAAAATGAAGATTTTTTTCTATTACAGGAGACGGACAACAATGAACTATTTCATACTCTCTTCTCTTTTTCACAAAATGTTTTTATCTCTCATTTCCTTTCTAAAAGACTCTTTTTAAATGGTTTTTTATGGTATGTAGGGAAATTTCTTTTATTACTAGTCTTGTTAATTATTTAAAATTATTATAATAAACAATTAGGAGTATTTAAATTTTTCCTATTACTATTTTTATTAATCACACATATTCGACTTATTAAATTTGCTAACTTTTGCTTCTTATTTGGTTAGAGTTCAGGGTCAAAAAAATTTCAAAAAATAATAACACCTATTTGACTCTGATATGCACATGCTGTTAATACTTAGCTTAGATTTACAACAAGAGCATAACCAGGAACGCCAATGGCACAAATGTGTGACCAACTGGCCCATCCCTAGCTACGCCCATGATGTATACACTATATTGAAATTATTTTTATATATTATTTACTCCTTCATTAGTTTTATAAACAACAATTTCTTATAGTAAAAATTTCAAATTGTATTAATTTTATGATATTTATTATATATATACTATATAAATTTTTCTTTTTCTTCATTTTGTAGCTGCCTTTCGATCACCTTCTATTAAAATTACATGTTAACACGAACGAATTTTTTGTATTGGAATTTGTAAATTAAAAATAAAAAATATTTATATAAAAATGTATAAATATATAATTGTTTTTTATTTAAATTGTTAATCGTTTCAGCAAGAAACGCAGTTGTATAAAGTAATGGAAGGATCACTCCATCGATCACTTATATCGAAAAAATTAACGAATTAATCAGTTGAAATTAATTCAAATGATATTAATAAATAATTTATTGTGTCTTTAATAATTTATTAAATAATTTATATTAAATTAAGTTTAAAAAATCGCAAATGAATGTCTTAAAAACTCTTCCAGTAGATATATTTAATTAAAATTGTATTAATCACAAAAATATTTTTTTATATGAATCTTGAACTTAGATAAGAAAATCTATTGCGATGTTAAAGGATTAGTTTGCTTATCTGAAAGTAAGTAATAGAATATATTAGTTAATTTTACTTTAACTTTCAATTTTCAAATATTTATTCTAGTTGATATATCAGCTATAGTAAAGGACATTGCTGAAACAAGATATGTTTGTTATCCTTCATGTATAGAACAACAAGTAACTTATATTGGGTAAGATATATGATAATATATATAACTTTATAATTTATATTAATTCTTATAAAAAAATTAATTAATTATTTGTAATGTTCATTATTTCTATAATATATGCATAAAAAACGTGTTTCATTACTAAATTGTTGCTTTAAGAAGCAAACAAAATCGTATTAGAAAAGGGATAGTCCATTTTTAATACTTGTCAGGTATCCTGTGTTAGATTATATGTAATATAACAATATTTAATCATAACAGAAATATTTTAAAAAAATATTCTATAATTTTATGTTTGTTTAATATTCTGTTTTCTAGATTATTTATTAATCTATTTTTTAAGATTAATTTCATTTTGAAAATATTGTCTTTATTTTTTAAAAACTTTAATCTTAACATTATTATATATTCTTCTATATTTTGTATATCAGTGCTTAGAGTGAAATACTTACTCTTATTTTTTGACAATATTATAAGTTGGTAATATATTAAAATGTTATTGCCGACAAATGATTGGCTTTAAAGATTTTTTCCCAGTATATATTGAAGTATGTATTTTTCAAGTGTACTGTAAAACCTTTAAATTATTTACTTGTCGAATTTATTAAAATTATTAATGTAATATATATTAAATATTAGTGTATATATATATATTTATAACAACACGCTGTTTTAAGAGCAAAGAATTGAAATAAGATAGTAATATACAATTTTCAAGCAATAAAAAAATTTTTTTTTAAACATAGTTTTCAAGAGAAAGAATGGGTGGATACAGATTCATATATAGTGGAAATCGAAGTGACCAATACTCCTACAGAACGATATAATCGAATAGTCACACAAACGCCACTTGATATAATGGGTAAGATATAATTAATATCAATATTTTATACATCAGCAAAAGTTATGAACATACATTTAATTATTATGCATTTGTAATAAATGATAAAGATATGATAAAGACAATATTTATATTCACCTGTAAAATGTTAAAGAGTTTTTTATCTTAACCAGCTTAAGCGACCAAAAAAGTTTCCGTCCCTACTTCGGTCTCCAAATAATTAATTCACCACTGCTTAAGATACGGTGCAGCAGTGGTGAATACCCTTCGTTGAAGTTAAGTTCGCTGGTAGGTATTTAGATGCTATATTACATTAGCTACTAACAGAAAATTTAGAATTTCGTTAAAATTTGATAAAGGTTACTAAAAATCATTTGTAAACATAGTGATTGAACTTCATACAGCTCTCTGTATTTTGTTCAGTAAGGTATCAAAACTAAACAGCGGTGTCTATGATCATAGAATGTAGTTGTTTAAATGAGAAACTCTTTTAATAATTAAAATCTGTGCAATACAATGCCTCAAAAGTTATTAAAAATGCCATTACTATTATGTACTTGATAGTTATTTAGTTTTTAAAGCTTGGACTTCTAAATTCACCAAAAATCTCATATGTGAGTTTGCTAGTAGGAACAAGTTGAAAAGCAGATTCTGTGAAATGCAGAGTAAAACATTCATCCATTTTATAAGCTCGTGCACTGCAATTGTCCAGAAACGGTTAGAGTACATCCATCCGACATTGATTGAACTTTAGGAGATCTGATCGGGAATCAAATCATAACAGTAGCTTCTATAGGTCTTGGTGTTTCATGAACTCTTTTAATAATAACTATTTCTATGAGTAATTCTAATAACTGTACTCTTCATTTTATTTTACAGTGTCGATTGGAGGACTTTTTGGATTATTTTTTGGCGTCTCTTTACTCAATATTGTTAACATGGTTTTCATATGCAAATATTATAATTAAAACAAATTAGACATTGGAAAGTTCAATTTATCGTATTTATAACAAATTTATATAAGACAATAACTTATTTTTATTATATTTATAATTAAAAAACTCTTTGAATAAAATTAATTAACAATCATAACCAATAAATCAAAATAAGTGCATCATTAATTAAACCACCACAAAAACATTATATATTATATATATACCATATGCATATATGGTATATATGTACATATGTTTCATTATATCTGCCTATGAAGCTTGCCGTTTAAGCAATTTAATTTGAACATTGGATTGTGCTCTGATTAGAATGCCAGCTAAAAATCGAAAACTTGCAGGATCTGTTACTGCCTTTAACTCGAAATGCTTTAAGACATATACAAGCAATGTTTTTACTTCCAACATGGCAAATTTTTGCCCAATACAATTTCTTTGTCCAGCACTGAAAGGTATGAAAGCGAATGAATGTCGGTTTTCAGAATTTTCTGGTAAAAATCTCTCGGGCTGAAATTCATCTGGATCATTCCAGTACTTGGGATTGCGATGTACATCAAATATATGTAGTTCGATTTGTGTTCCTGCTGGCAATATTAGATTATTTGATAAATTCGTATCTTCTAGACATTCACGTAATATAATGGGCACTGAAGGATATAGTCGTTGTGTTTCTTTAATAAAACATTCTAAATATTTCAAATTACTTAATTGAGCTATATCTAAATTGGCAAGATCATCTGTAGAAAAATATATCATGAAACGCATTTATTGTAGATATTAAATAATGTCATACATACCACTCATAAATTCTTCTATTTCTTTATAACAACGTTGTTGCATATCCGGATATAAGGCAAGATTCATTAAGCAAAATATTAAATTCATCGATGTGGTATCAAAGCCTTCAAAGACAAAAGTATCTACTTCTTCACATATACCAGCATGATCTATTAAACCATCTTTTTCAGCACGTAGCATTGTATCTAACATAGCGTAACGCTTTTTCTTAAAGATGAAACTGAAAGATTTTAAAAAATATATGGTAATACGTAATAGTAATATATATATCTATATGTTATATATACGTATATATAATATATGTACATTTGTATATGTATATAATACATGTACATGTATATATGTTTGTTTAATTTACAGAAAGGATGAGATAATATTTTTAATGATAACAAATCTTATAATTTCAAAGCTTTATATAATTGAGATGATATATGTACATCTGAAGTGTGAACTGTTAAGTGAAATATTAAAGTACATGTTTGGTAGCCACAATATTGTTTTGCTCTTACATGCAATGCTCTCCAGAATCCAGGAACCCCGAAAAATAATATAATAATTTGTAATTATTTTTTCCATCGCCTGACTTCAAATCTTTGTAAAAATGTAGAAAAACAACACAATGAGAATGAATTTTATATATTTAAAAAAATTGAAATCCCATTACAAATTATGTGTTATCGTCTGTGGAACGAATATGGTTACCTCAGCTGAGTAAGTAAAGACCATTGTGAGACCCAGTTAAGATGGTTTGAGCAAAACAAGGTGAACTTTTAGAACACAATAATATCTGTTAATCAATGTGTGCAATTGCTATAGATTAACAGCTATGTTCCAGAAAACAAATAGCTATTAAAATAATATATTGAAAAATATAGCAGAGCTAAGAAGAATACACAGTTGGTATTTTAAGCTAGGAAGAACATGATTACTTTTAAAAAAGGTCGCTTATTAATTGAATTAATATGTCAAGAGAAATTAAATGTATTTGTTTAAATTTGTATTGGTATATGGTATATAAGTGGCTTGGTCAGCATATGAATGAAGTGGTTCTAATAATGAAATCAGTTTTTATTAATTATTAAATTGAAATATTCATATTTTCTTACTCTGTATCAATAGGGTCAGTTGGGTTTTCTATATTTGCTTTAAGTTCTTCTTCAAAGAGTGCACGCCTCTTTTCGATGATTCCACAAGAGAAATCATGTAATTTCTTTAAATATTGTTCATCCCGTCGACCATCACCCAAATATTTATAAGCAATATCTGACATAAGTAAAGGATTTATTGTACGTTTTACAAAACTCTCTTCAACTTTTGATATATTCTCTCGATACTCATCACCATCCAAATGTTCATCCAGACGTACACCCAATGCCGTTTCTATAAACATTTTTTTATTATAATTAAAATAATTGAATAAATAATTAAGACATTACCACATATATTGTTTAAAGTGAAACGTGGTATAGTTTCAGATAGAGACACTATATTATCAGAGGATACATCGCACAAATGGTGAAGGTTTTGTACAAATTTACTACTTTCTTGCCTAAAATCGAATAAAATATTATTAGGAATAGATATATAGAATTTATTTATGCTAATAAAACAGTAAAATAATAAAAATAGTTATTTACTTAAATATATCCATAAATTGACCCAAAATATTGAAATGAAAAGCTGGTGTCAAAAGCCTGCGACGTGTGTGCCATTTTTTACCTAAAAAAATACAAATTATTTGTTTATATTTTAAAATAGAACTATAGTATTATTGTTTACACACATGTGAAAACTTAATTAAGATAGATAAGTAGAAATGTTGTTTATCATGTTCCTAATAATAATGAACACAAATGACTAATATATTAATGTCGGCATAATGTTTTAGATATGAGTATATTTTTATACTTACCGGTGCTTGTTAATAGGCCGGTTTTTAAAAATGGATGCAAAAATTTATAGAAGTTTGCTTTCGTAATGAGACGAGTATCGGTCAATATCAACTCAGCATCTACAGCATCTATGACGTTATATAGTGGACAGCCGAAGACATATTGTACATAGCTACGCTTAAAACGCTGTGCTTGTTGGCGGGTAAAGTAAAAAAGATCCTCTTACAAGATAAATACAAATCATGTATATTCTTTATGCTGTCACCAAATTTATATATTTATATATACCTAAGTTTAGTTTAAACCACACAAAAGTGCTACCAAATATAGAACTTCCGAGATCTACAGCAACACTATCTTCCAGTGGTGATCCATCGATTGTTTTCACACGTTTACAAATTATTGGAATAACATAATCTTTATTTAGTCGTCGTAATAAAATTGTCACAAATGTTAAAACAATTATTATTATTCCCAATTCCAACATTGTATATATTGATATATATATATCAATTTATCTTAATTACAAAAATATCGATACATATACTTTCATATATAAATAGAAACGTTCATGTGTTCTGTTCGCTGAGGAAAATGTTTCGCTTGAATTAATAACCGATTGCTCCAAATGAGAATACTGTTTCGACTAAATTTAAAAGTAATTTTATTTCAGTATTTCACTAAAGTTTATTGCAGCTTGTGTATATGTTTCTATTTTTTAATTGATAAGTAAATATATATATATAGATGTATATATATCCATAGTGTATAAACGTATAAAGAGACACCATATATTTTATAGTTCGCTGGTCATGCTTGTTTGTATTATTATCAGAAATACAAATTCTTTGCAAAATTTTGAGATGCTGTATCACAAACCTACAAAATTAGACATTATTATAGTTTAATATTGAATTTTCAATATTCAATTGAATTAAAAATAAACTTTAACTATAATGTGCAGTGTTTTGCTAAACGTTCTTCTACCGAATATAATCTTTTATATTATTTTATTCTGTGAGGCCAAAATATAACTACAGGTCACACTGCAAATTCCTTAAAATAATATTGTAATAATAATAATATCGTCATTTTAGTGTAGTTAGATAGCACTTTTTTATTTAACATTTTAGATAAGTTGAAAAATATCTTAATTTGATGCAACTAACATTATTAAAAAATGTTAACTTTATATTAAAAGTTCTATTGATCAGAAAGTTAATTTTTGAATTACCACATTAACAGCTTACCATATGAATATCTACTACACAAGCTACAAAGCTTTTATATACAGCATGGAAGATCATGTAAAGTGAAAATAACATTTCTTTTGAATTTTCATTGCTTAGAACTTCATATCATTTTTGAGTAAGAATTAGGTTAGGTTATACCGGCGATCACTTGGGTAAGTGTTAGTTTTAATAGAAATTGAATTTAATAGTTATTACATTTTTTGGCAAAGAGATTAGTGAGATTATGTGAGATTAGTAGATGTAAAACCATAACTGTTTCGAATGTTACATATTTTATATAGGAACCTAGAGATCTAGTTAGACTTGCAGGACTGGAAGCTCATCACTTTATCGTACAAATAACAGTTCTTTTTCATTCATTCTTTTTCATTTTTTTAATTTATAAAAAATTGAATATCAAGTGTTTAAATACCTTGTTTTGGGTTGTTTTATTATTTGATAAGCTAATATATACAATTATTGAGAGTAAGAAAGAAAGTATTAATTTTAATTTTTAGAATAGAAAACTCACTTGTTCTTTTTAAATATAATCGTATAAGTTATAAATATGATCTAAATAAAAGTATTTAGGTCATGTGCGAGTTAGGCTAAGTTGATGCTAAACCAAATGGGAGATTTTTTGGGATTTTTTGCACTGCACACATTTTGCCATTTATCAACACGTATCGACACATCAATACATTATCGACACAACTTAGAATTTCCCTCATTTAGAACGCAACTTAGCCTAACTCGCACACGACCTTAGTAAGGTCTTTTTTAAGTGTTTTTCTATACTGCAAGAGTTTTGACAAAAGCTTTCCATAAATGAAAGTGCTTGAAATAACTATAGCCTTTTGCAGATTAAATGAATTCTTTAGATATATCTGACTGTAGATAAGCTTATTTTTAAATCTAGATGGAATAGTTTTAAAAATTTAAAAACACGTTTTCAGTATTTTTATATCTGTTTATGAATTCACCGCCAATTCACTACTCTACATTCATACTCATATAGTCATATATGACTAGTCATATATTATAGAGATAACAAAAAAATTAGTTAGCAGAAATTATTATCAGAAATATAAAACACTTCTTAGGTCGTGTGCGAGTTAGGCTAAGTTGCGTTCTAAATGAGGGAAATTCTAAGTTGTGTCGATAATGTATTGATGTGTCGATACGTGTTGATAAATGGCAAAATGTGTGCAGTGCAAAAAATCCCAAAAAATCTCCCATTTGGTTTAGCATCAACTTAGCCTAACTCGCACACGTCCTTAATATTACTATATCGTTAATAATTAGATAATATATAGAATCCAACTATATAGAATTTTATATATTTTGTCAATAGTAAAATCAACGAAGTGAAGTACATTTTATAAAGTATATATATTCTTTTGCATAAAAGCTAATTTTCCGTATCAAATGACGAATCAATTTCAGCTATGGATAGATATTTTATCCGAAGATAAAAATAATTCCATCAAAGACATTACTGCAAATAGTCATACAAATTCTAAGAATTGCTTGTTTCTAAGATTGCACATAAAATATTGCGGTATAACGAAGTGTAAGCGATATAGATGAATTTTTCAAGATATATAAAATTATTTTGATTCCATAAATTAAATTACGGTTAATAATATTCGTAAATAAATTGGCAAAACGCATATAAATATATAATTAATATAAATAATATTAATTAAAATCTAGTATTTCAAACAGTAAGCAGCATATATTCTAGTCGGTCTGTTCAAATGTTTAACTATCTACATAAACTTGAGTTGAATTAGTTTGAATTCTAAATTGGCAAGATATTTGTACTAGGATTCAGAAAAACTGGATTTTCCACATCAACACATTCACTCTATTCTATTAATAACTTATCCCTTTCTTTCTGGAGTTGCAATATTAATTTTGTTTCTTACCTGACCATACGATGTTTGTGTTTTGAAACATTTTAATGATTCTGATTCTTAATTATCTTCTTTTTATGCAGTATGTCTAATACGAATTATATTGTTGATTTACAATTCCATTTATTTTATTATAAATTTGCAAGTACATAGGATTCAGTATTGAGTTTAACCTATTAGTCATAATAAAAATGCATATAAAGTTTGATAATATATAATAAAATACTAAAGATAAATTTAATTGTTGCCAAAATAGTGATAGTACTAGTTAAGTACGCTTTCCGACAACAAAAAATCTGCAAGCTCAATTATTAATTGAATTGAATTGCTAGTGTAGTTCTAATTATATGATAATATTTTTTAATTATGCGTTTTATTTTCCATATTACACATATAAAGGTGTACATATGTATATATATATCTGGTTCTAACAACTGCTTTGGAAGGTTTTATATATACATTTTGTTAATTGTTAAAAAGGTGAACGTGATCAGTCATACAGAACTATCAAAATATTGAAAAAATGATAACTAATGTAAATATTAGTTGCTGTAGAAAGTTTTTGTTTTTTTAAGCAAAATTTATTGCTCCAGCGTAGATACATACATACATATATCAAAAAACTGTCTTAGCTACAAGTAATAAGTATTATTATGTACGTAATTGTATAGTGCATAAAATAATTAGAATTATTTATTTATAATAAAAATAAAAAATTTCAAATTTGCTTTAAACAAAATATTTTGCGTTGTTTTCTTCAACATTTTCGGATTAACAGTTAATTTATTTTTAAACTAAACTAAAATAAAAAGAAATACAAAATTATACTTTCTCCGTCTGTATCCAGGTTAACGTTCAATTATATTCCACCCATCCAATTCTCTTTCCCCCTCCATCACATTCAATCAATACCCACTCTATCTGCTTACAGGTCCTAGCGGGTTACAATAACAACAACAAAATTTTATATCAAAGGAATAGTTTGTCATATATATTGTTTTTTTATATTTAAAGTAGTTTCGATAGTTGTTTACAAACATCCTTAAAAATATGATTACATTTTAAAATGGTATAAATTTGTCCGATTATTTTGAAACACTTTACTACTGTGTGCTTACTATAAATGTGTATAAATGAATTGAAATAATACATGAGTTTTTGCCTTTTTATCAAAAATTGCAATATAAAATAATTAAGTTTATAGAAACTATTAACACAATTTGTATATTTATTATAAATATTTATCATGCAGTTTAAAGTCTTTAAATTTCGAGTTCATCATTTTAACAAAAAGGATTCTTAATAGTTCCATCTTTACCATCAAAAGTAATGGAATCATAATAAAAACGTCTGTTAACACGACATTGAATACCGCACTTTGTAGATCTGCAGTTTTCACACGGAAACCAACATCCTGGACAGTTAGCAGTCATACAATCGCATAAACTTAAACCATTGTGACGAATAACACCATGTTCATCATAAATCGTTTTGGATTTTGAAGGTACATCATTTTTACGTTTCAGTTTTCGTTTATCCCGATTTTTGTCATCAATGTCGTCCAAATATTTGTATTCATCATGTTTCTCTCGTAGTTTCCGTTCAGCATGGAGTTTTCGTGGGCGTTCTCTTAAGGACATTCGCAATGGTCCAATACCCTCGCCCAAGTCGTCGTCTTTATCCATTACTGTTGCTAGTTTATTACTTTTTAAATTTGTTAATAGTTAAAACCAATTGATACGATTTTTCGTGAATTTCCAGAATTGACATTTAACTACGTTGCCAGATTACTTCACATATTTTCAAATGGGCTTGCCACAGCATATCACGCACGACTTACGTAACGTAGCTGATAGTATATTTAATAAAAATAATTAATAAAAATAATTATTTAATAAGATTATTGAACGGATTATTTGGTTCTTTTAAAGTACAAATAATTTTTGAATTCTTATATATTTATGTTTTCTTCATTGTAATATATCGAAATTATATTTTCGATCTTTACTGTTCCGTTTAGTCATTAACAATACTAATGTGAAATAGAAAATGCCAAAAAAAATTTGATGCTTGTTTTGGTTTCACCTCCTTTTTAACAGTAGCCGTAATTTTTTCATTAAGAGTAGAAAAAAAATAGTCGCAACTTATGAAAGAAAATATGTGAAGCAACAACAATGCTCTCAAAATCTTCAGTTTGGTTTTAATCGCAAAAATTGTCACGTCTTTTGTTTTAGTACAGCTAAATTCAATAATCAGTCTATTCTGAATATTCACTGGAAAAATGTTGCAAAATTCCAGCCATCCGTTAAAAGCATATGAACATTTCATTTATAATTAAATTCAAATACTAAAAAAATAAATTAATTTAAATATATAAAATAAAAATGCTAACCATTGCCCTTCAATACTCATTTTCTTTTCTTTTATTTAATATAAATAATTTTTAGTGTTTTAAATGTTTATATTTTATATTGAATTTAAATTTAAAGAATTTAAATTATTTTAAAAGTGATGCCAATTTGTTTCAACCAGATTTAATGTTTTTTTTACAACTCTGAAAGAAAAAATTACGGCTAGTAATAAAGAATGTATTAAACTGTGCGAAAAGTGTTATAAAAATTTATTTGATTGTCGTGTTTAGCTATATTTGGCGTTTGCGAATTTAACAGAATACGAAGTTTGACGATTTAGCGTTTTATCCGGAGCAATCAGCTGTTTTTGAAAACAGAAAATTAGCGTAAAGAATTTCTTAAGCGTAAAGAATTAACAGAATCGCAAAAGTGGCTAAAATGCATTTAAAGAATTTTAGCGATAGCAATTAGTGCAATCGGTCTGCTGGTTTAATAATTCGAATTTAACAATTCAATATATTCACATGCATTGCGGTATATCACATTTAACACTTTAACAATTTAGCAATTTAGTTAAAGTTAAGTATGATAAATAATAATCATAAAGTAGCCTATTATTACTGTACACAATCGAACTAATAAAATATTAATTGACTTAATGCATTCAATATGGATTGCATATAGAATATTTCTTACATAGGTTTTAAAAAATTTAATTAACGTGACTGATAATTAACTTATTGTTTTGCTTGAAGTACCCTGTTCCATATGATACTTTTTTCAGTCACAAATTTTTTAATCGGCACACATTTTTCAACCGATTTGAGTTGAAAATAATTTTATATTTTTACTTGTCAGGTAAGAAGAAATGAAAATATAAAGTCATAGTTTTTAGTTTCTAGTCCGAGAAAAAAAAATTTGTTATGGTTTTCTGTTTTAATGCTTTGAGTAATTGAAATTTGTTTTTGAAATTGGCGTTTGTGCTGATGTAACGTGCTAATGTGAAATGTGAAATATATGTATAATTTAAGCCGTATTTGCTAAATAAATCTCTGACTGAAAAACTGTTTTTGGATTTGTGTTTCGTTTTCAATAGAAACCAAATTTGCACGGTGTTAAAGAAATATATCAAAAATGCTAAGCCGGCTTTCATTGATACGATCCGGTGTATTCTCAAATGCAGCTATTAAGCATAAGAACCGCATGAGCTCAGCAGTACAAAATGCCAAAACTCTAGATGCGCAGCCTCAGACACAGATAACAGATAGTCCTACAATTGTACAACTGCAAGATCGCAAATTTGAAGAAGGAAAACAATATCATGGATTTCAGTGTGTACGTTGTGAGAAAGTGCCGGAATTTGGTATTATGTCATATTCTTTTCAACACTTGGGCACAGGCACTGAGTTGTGGTATGTGGATCGTAAGGATCAAAACAATGCGTTTTCGATTAATTTTCGTACAACACCATTCGATTCTACTGGTTTACCACATATATTGGAACATAGTACTCTTTGCGGCTCTGAAAAGTATCCGGTACGCGATCCATTCTTTAAAATGCTCGATCGGTCTTTAGCAACCTTTATGAATGCAATGACTGGCCCAGACTACACAATGTATCCATTTTCAACAATGAACGAAGTTGATTTCAGAAATCTACAGAAAATTTATTTGGATGCAGTTTTCAAGTAAGTGTAATATGTAGTTTTTTGGTTTGTATATTTTAATTCTTTCTTATTTCAGACCAAAGCTTAGCTATCTCGATTTTCTGCAGGAAGGTTGGCGCTTAGAACACTCGAATATTCATGATAAAAATTCGGATTATGTTATAAAAGGTGTCGTTTATAATGAAATGAAAGGAGCCTTTTCCGAAAATTCGTCCGTATTTGGACAAAGTTTGCTAAATAATTTATTACCAAACCATACCTATAGCTACGTGTCTGGTGGTAATCCTTTGGAAATTCCAAAACTTACACACAAAAATCTAGTAGATTTCCATCAAAAATACTATCATCCAAGTAATGCACGTATTTATACTTATGGGTCTTTTGACTTAGGAAAAACTTTGTCCTATGTGAACGAACATTATTTGAGCAAATATACATACGTGGATAACACATATAGCCGCATACCGAATCAACCACGCTGGGATAAAGAACGAAATGTACATATATCGAGCCGCTTGGATAGTATGGGCGCACCATTCGAAAAACAGAACCAAATTGCAATTGCGTTGTTAATGTCTGATGTAATTGATATACAGGAAACGTTCGTTTTATATGTGTTGTCAGAATTATTGGTGCGCGGACCTAACTCGCCTTTCTACAAAAGTTTCATTGAACCAAACTTTTCAGGCGGGTATAATCAGACTACAGGCTTCGATCCGCAAACAAAGGATACCTTCTTCTGTGTCGGTTTGCAGGATGTACGTGTTGAGGATTTTGGCAAGGTGAAAAATATATTTGCAGAAACAGTGGAACAAGTTATGGTGCAAGGTTTTGATAGTAAGCACATAGAAAGTGTGTTGCACAATATAGAGCTATCCTTAAAACATCAGAGTCCACAATTCGGTCTTGGTTTGTTATTTAATACTACACCACTATGGAATCATGAAGGAGATGTTGTACAAAACTTGAGAGTATCTAACATGATAGCTAATTTCCGTAACAATCTTAAATGTGATCCCAAGTTTTTACAAAGAAAGATTGAGCAATATTTTATCAAAAATACGCATAAACTCACTTTGACTATGTCTCCAGATGAAACTTATGAAGAAAATTTTAAAATTGCAGAGTCCGAATTACTTAAACAGAAAGTCTTAGGTTTAGATAAGGAGAAAAAGGATAGAATTTATGAAAATGGAATGAAATTGGCAGAGGTACAGAATTCAATTACTAATGTAGATATTCTACCTTGTTTAAATCTGGATGATGTTAAGAATGCTGCTAAGCAGGAACCATTGCATGTGCTTAAGCTGAGAGAAGTTCCAACGCAAGTATGTAATGTGCAAACTAATGAAATATCCTATTTGAAATGCTTCTTTGACGGCTCCGAATTGACGAAAGATGAAATAAAACTCATACCACTTTTCTGTAATGTCATAAATGACATGGGAACCAAGAATTATGACTTCAGGGAATTTGATAAAATTGTCTTGTCGCAAACTGGTGGTATTGATTTTAGGTTGCATTTTGCTGAGAATATTTTTGATAGTAAATCATACAACCTTGGCATTCTAATGACCACACATGCCCTGGACAAAAATTCTGAAAACATGTTCTCACTTTGCAAGGAGTTACTAACAAATTTCAGATTAACAGATACCGAACGGCTTAAAATGTTAATTGACAACTATGTATCGAATATAACGGTTGGTATTACTAGCTCAGGACATCTGTACGCTATGCAAAGCTGTGCTGGTTTAGTCACAGATGCTGCAAAACTTAAATCTGAATTATCTGGCGTTGAGCATATAGAACACATGAAAAACTACGTTAAAGCACACACAACTGAAGAAATTATGGAGAATTTAAGAATGTTAGGTGAAAAGTTATTTAACAAAAATGCTATGCGAGTTGCTATTAATACATCCAAGGAATACTATCCTAAGCTTGTAAATCATTATGAGCAATTCCTAAATGATTTACCAAGTGTTGAATACAAAAAGATGGAAAATAAAGTAAATTTACTGAAGCCAAGTTGTCAGCATTTCGTTATGAACATACCAGTTAATTATTGCGCAAAGTCGTTTTTCTGTGTCCCCTACTCACATCCCGATCATCCAGCATTACGAGTTTTAGCTAAACTAATTTCTGCAAAGTATTTATTGCAAGTCGTTCGAGTGCAAAATGGTGCTTATGGTGTAGGCGCCAAAGTTGGTTCAGATGGTATTTTTAATTTCTTTAGCTACCGTGATCCAAATTCCACTAAGACTCTTGAAGCATTCGATAATACGTATAAATGGTTGCAGGAGCATAATGAGCAAGTAACCGAACAGGCATTATTTGAAGCGAAATTAGGAGTATTACAGCAATTAGATGCGCCAGTGGCACCTGGAAATGTGGGCATCGACTTTTTCTTGTATGGTGTATCCCAAGAAATGTTCCTTAAGTATCGTAACCGAATGTTGTCAGTAACACTCAAGGAATTGAAAGATGTCGCTGAAAGATATTTCAAGGCTGAGCCAGCATACTATGGTAAATGCTTATTGGGACCGGAAAATAAGGCATTGGAAACTGAAACAAATTTGAAATGGAAAACTATAGTATAATTTTTTTTCGCTAAAAATTGTTATATAATAAATATATTTTTAAGAAATTATGTAAAAAAATAGCTGTACTGATAAATATTAGAACGAAAATATGTTATTGAACTGTTAAAATGTGTGTAGATAGTAAAGATTAAAAAATGATGACATGAGCTGTTTAAGTTTTAATTATTTAATATAATCAAACAAAAGTAATAATTTGCATAAATTATTCTTAATCTATGTTGGCACATAAGAGTCGTAATTAAATAAATATTCTATTTGTTAAATATTCTTAAATTATTATTGTTTTCAATATAGTCTAAGGTGAAAGAGGAGAACTGAGTTTCTACCTAGAAAAAGTTAAGATTTCTATTCACGATTCAGGTAATAATCTGATTTAGTAAACTGGAAACTTTTATTACATATAATTGTAGGGATATATTGGGATGTTTATGGACTATGTGTGTCAGCATAAAAAAAACGTAATAATATAATGGTTTGGTATTTGTTAAGTATTCTTAAATTAATATCGTTTTTAAAATAGTCTGAAGTGATAGAGAATCGTCCTTCACTAAAAAAAGTTGAGATTCAATTCACGATCAATGTGATGATTCGGTTTTAATCTGTGTTAGTGAATTTCGAATTTTTATCCTCATCTGTCATCCTCATGTTTACCGATATCCTCATCGCACAAAATATCAACTATATTTGTAGTATGTCGTTTTATTTTGTTCAATGATATTAAATGTTTCGACTATTGTAAGCCTTGAATTGATCTTACTATTGTCTATTTGGAGTACTATAAAAAGAAATTAAATTAAATAATTTAAATTAATGTTATTTTGCTATTGTAAATAATGTTTATTTTGGATTGTATTTTCAACAATGATTGTTTGAAAATCATAAAATGTTTTAGTGTAGATCAGATTTACTAGATCTATTATTACCGAAATACTTAATTTTATCTATTTAACGTGGTTGTGAACATTTATATTACATTAACATATAACAATATATATATTTTACAAATTGTTTATATTATTTTAGTTATAATGTTGCCTGCGACATATACAAGCCCCCAAGCATACTTCAAAAGCTCATTAGAATTTCTTTCCGAATATTCATGGATTTACGAAAGTGCTAACACTTGCTTTATAAAAGATGGAATATTGGAAAAATTTCCAAAAGAATTTGTGAAATATTTTCTACATATAAATACTAATGATTTAAACATTTTTCCATTTGTTCATCACACAAGTCCAACGATAGAACAAGAAAGCATACAAAATTTTCATAAACGTCTGAAAAGTCTCATTCCAGAAGAAAGTTTTTCAAATCCATGTTATCCAGATATAACATTTGCACATATAAAAACTAAATTTCGTAAAGTCAATTTAAAGAAACAACATGAAATATTAAGACTGGGACATTTAATAACTACCTTATGTGATGATTATCGTATAATTATTGATTTTGGGTCAGGCTTAGGTTATTTAAGTGAAATTGTGAGCATCTTAAAAAAGGATATTCATATGCTCGGATTGGAATCCGATAATTGTCGTGTAGATGACGCGAAAAAGCGACAGTTGGAGTTTATGTTTAATACATTAGATACGATCAGCTATAAACAAGAGACTATAACATGTGAATCTAAAAATTTTATAGAAATGGAAACACAAGAAATAATTCGCAGAAATGAGCTGGTAGAACCGATAAAAATGGCAATTATTGGTTTACATGCATGTGGAGATCTTACTATAACATCTATTAAACTTTTTTTACAAATGAGCGAAGTTAAAAGTTTAATTATAATGCCGTGTTGTTACCATAAAATGCAAATGAATACGTCTACAACATTTACAAATTTTCCTCTTAGTAAAACACTTAAATCTGAGGTTAAAATGAACACAAGATTTTCACAAATTTTGAATAGACCATTCTTACGTTTAGCATGTCAACAAACTGGAGAGAGATGGAGACAAAGTACTGAGCTGGAACATTCTGTACATGCTATTGAAATGTTCGAAAGAGCCGTAGCAGAAGCTATACTCAATCCTGATGGATCGGAAAAAATTATAAAGCTAAAGAAAAAGAATAGACATAATGATAATTATAAGTTTAATGATTTTACAAAGAATTTTGTGGTACAGCTTAAGGAAACAAATAAGTCGCTTGAATGGAACCACACTCATGAACATAAATTTAATGAAATTATTGAAAAGTATCCAAACGGTCATAAATTAGCCGAAGGTCTTACATGTCTTCAAACAACATTACAGGTGAGAAAACTCTTTATATATTTATTATTTACCAGATAATTGGTTACAAGATTGAATTATATACTCTTATTTAATAAACAAATCTTGTGTAAAAAATATTTTGATTTGATTTTGCGAAAACTTTAATATCCTTTACATAAATTATTATTAAATAATGGTGCAAAAAATCACATATAATTATTAATAGAAGAATATGTTTGTTTATGATGATGAGTTGCTTCAGGTATTAGAAATGACTATTCTAAAAATTTTATTTACTTTTTTACTTTTTTATTTACTCGAAAAATCAAGTAAATAAAAAGTTATGGTAAAATTAAATTGGGTTTTCTTTGTGTTTTTTTTTATTTTTATTTTTTAATAACAACAAAAAGGTTTGACAAATTAGCCTGAAAAAACACTTCATTAAAATTGTTTGGTCACAAAATAATATATAAATAAAGTATCCTCAATGAATAATTTAAAAAATACAAGTAGAAGATACCATTAGAACTTTTGTTTTGTAATTTGGTAATACTGTTTTGTATTAACATCTATACTTACATCTACTCTGTTTAAAAAAAAAAGATTTATTATATTATGATATTGAGGCTAGTTCAGTCAGTGCACTTGAGCACTTTTACTCTCTATTAACTGATAGGTTTCTTCATAACTCTTCTCTACGCCTTGACTGGATTATTGTTTATCACTTCATCAGACTAAACAATAACTTACCTCAGATCTGCACACTTTTCCGGGGAGCTTGTAATCATTCTGAGATTCGATAACGCGGTGTTGGTAAGCCTGTCAGTTTTCGTAAATAATTTTAATAAATATTTTTGTATTTCTATTATTTATGAAATTTTAAACTTGAACTTACTTTAAATTATTTTTTATTTAATTTATTTTTTTTTAGAAACTTTGTGAGAATATCGTGCTCTATGACCGTTTATGTTACCTAGAGGAAGAAGCTGCAGAGCAGGGCTTAAAAATTAACGTACGTTACGAGAAGATTTTTAATGAGAAGTTATCGCCTCGCTGCTACGTCTTAATTGCACAGAAATTGTGAGAAATGCTGGTCAAATTTAAATAAAAGTAATTTCCTTAAACTGACAAAAATGTTTGGAGTTTGTACTTTAAATGAAGTTCCTCCCCTATGAATTTCTTTACTTCAAAAATACTTTTCATTAAGTTGTGTAGGCATTATGAAGCAGAAAACATGTTCACTTGAAGCTTAAACTTACATGATTTACTGGTAAATGCAATTATCTCTACAAAATTTTCACACAAACACAACACATTTAAAGTAGAGATAAGTCCTTTTAAAAGCTTCCTTTAAATATTAATAAGGATAAGCTATGGGTAGGTAGTTGGTGCATGTGGAAATTTACATACAACACGTGAAACCATGAATTAGGTTAACAATTAATAAAAATTAATTAAATAGGACATATTTACGGGGGAAGGCATTTAATGTGGCATCTTTCACAAAAATTAATTATTTTTTGGTTTTTAAATAAATTTTATACAACAACAAATACATTTTGCTCACAAGTGTAATATTAATTATGCGTTTTAACGTCATTTAAATTGTGCGTCGCGACGCTTGCAACCGCTGCAGTCGAAGTTGTATATTTCTCTTTAGTGTAATTAAATTTCTTAGTGCATTTATAATTGCAATACAACAAGCCTGTGTAATTACTTAAAGTCATTTCTGCAAAAAACAAAAAAAATGTGTATACATTATACAAAAAACAAGTGTAATTACTCATAAAAGCATTTGCTCCCTTTGCAATTATAATACTTAAATTTGTAAATAATTTTGAAAAACATGCATTTCCAATAAATAGTTTTATTGTTTGTTTATTATTTATTTAAAATTGTCTTCAGATTATATTGTATTTAATATTGTTATTTTTAAGGTATTAGTATTTCCTTAAGGTATCTTATAGAACCTAACCTTACTTCTAATCATTGAGCAGTTATACTTATATGTCTTTTCCTTTACATTTAAGTCACTCTGTTATGATGTTAGGGGGTCTATCTTGTTTTTGGATAATATTTTTATTCTAATTATAATAGTCATTGAACTTCTAACCATTGACCCGTTATATATTTATTTTCCTTTACATTTAAGTCACTCTGTTATGATGTTAGGGGGTCTATCTTGTTTTTGGATAATATTCTTATCCTAATTATAAGATTCATTTTATTTTTCATTGGATTGATACCAAAAATAATACTTTATAAAAGAAAGTATTGTAATATAAATGGGTATTAAATATGACCTTCCAGAAAAAGTATTATTTAATATATAATATTGTTTGTAATATTTAGGTATCCTCTATGATAGAAACATTATATTTTTTGCTTAAATGTTATACAACGCGAATTAGGTTTGTATGCATTTCAAATTCTTTTCTTTATTTTTTTGTTAGATAATGGTTCCAATTAATTTTCTTTGACTTTAGAAATTTATACATTATTTAAACTTAAAAACAAAAGCATCCTAACCACATGATGGTCCTAACCATTTGGTAATAATTACTACGTGGTAACTATAGCCACATAGTAAAGCTCTTCCTTTGTAACCACAGTTCTGCACTCTGCATTAGATTGATGATGGTGTAACAACAATATACAGATTATAAATGGAATGGGAAACTAATTAAAGTGCTTTAATAGGAGAGAATGCATAAGTTAAAATCAAACAAAATAATTAGAGTCTTTCCTATTACTAAATAGTATGCCATATTAATAGTTATTCAGTATATCACGAAACATCATCAAACAACCATTCCCCTATTGCCCGAATTAATACTTTATAACAAAGAAAAAGCTCTGACAGGGTGATGGTCATAATCGATGACGATAGACGATAGTTAATAATCAGTTTTGTTTTGTATCAGTTTTAATAAAGACCAATTCTTGGCTAATTCTATGAATATTCTATATATTACATTCTTAAAGTAGTAATATTCGAATGATAAAGTGTCAACACAAATTATTGAGTTACAACTGTTTAAAGGACACTAGTTTGGTATATGAAAAATAAAAGTAAACAAAGAATTTCGAATGTTGATCAAATCCAGCATTGAATCCATAAATGTAATTGCGACTTTACACGTCGAACTCAAATGCTAAGTTCAGACGTGATTACACAGACACCATTGGCCGCTGATTATAATATTAGCTATTTAAGCATATAAAAAACAATTATTTGCTCTAATATATAAAAATGTATGAAATCTGAACCCAATAGTACACATGTGGAATCAAAACGTCAGAGAATTGACGAAGTCGATGAAGTTGGCAAAACTCTTCCATAATTATTACAAACATAAACTTTGACTAGTAAGATTATTATTTTTGTATTTCGGATTGTGTACGGTAATAAAAGCAAATATAAGTCAATTAGTATATTATTCTAATCTTGAGAAAAGCAGCCTAATAACACTAATAATATAAAACTATTTCACTGAGACTATAAATGGCTAAGACGTGTTACAATGGCTAATTACTTTCTCATCTATTGTAGTCCCAGATTTGATTAATCGGTAACTACCTCATCGCTTATTTCGAATAGAGGATTATTTCGACGCTTTGGCGAATGAGTCTTTACTTTAACAATGAAGATTTATTAGAAATAAAATCTTGTTAAGAGGCTGAAGACATGAAAATGTGACAATTCCATTTAAGTAATATTGTTTAATACACACAACGTATTTTTTATGTGGTAGAAATATTTTCTATTATTTGTATAACTATCATGCAAGTATAATCTGATTTCCTTAATCTATATTTTTTTCTATATATCTAAATTTCAAATATAATTTTAATTTATTACTCAAATAAAAGATAATTAAAACTCGTTATATTTTGTTTAACGCATTTTATTGCAAACTCTCTCTAAAGTATTATATATAAATGTATATATATTTTTTTATATATAAATATAACATATTTTATTGTATGCAGTACATATATATATTTATTATATAAATATTTATTTGCGTCGTATATATTTTATATTATTTATAGCAATATTTAATAATGTATATTAATATGAGATTTCGTCTCCTTTGAGGTTTAATTTATTACACCATTTCCTATTATTTAAATATTTTTATATGTGTTATAATAAATAAAAATATTCTTTAAACTTATTAACTTATTCGCTACAAATATTTTATACAGTTACAATAGTTTTAAACAATTCCATTTTATTTTGAATAATAATGTCTGTTACACAGTTGTAAGTTTTAAGATATATATTATATATATTATTATATATATATTATTATGTATATATTATAGTATTAATTAGTGAAATTTATATTTTATAGATACGAATGACAAAGCTACAATAAAGTATGCAATAGTGAATAAGTTATTACATAAATATTCTATATACAGCAAACAAATAATAACTAAAGTTGCATAGATCTCTCTAACATTAATCTCAATCCAGCCCATTTGAAATTAAACGCCAGAGTTTGTCTATTTTTAAGTAATACATATATCCATGTTGCCATTTTGTATGTTTATGCTTGTATATTGCAGTTTGCACTATTTTTTATATATGTGTATGTACTTGTATATTTGTATATATTTTATATAGTTAAGAGTTACAAATTATATTTCTCGTAGGTTATGACATTATTGTATATTGTTTTCATTTCACCGTTTGTACGCCATCTATCCGTATAAATTTATTTGCCTTCGTCATCGTTTTGATTGTTTGTCAACTGGTTAACAATATTATTAAGTTCTTCGCTGAAAAGAAAATTTGAAAATCAGCTCAAGAATGATTGCTATTTGAAGAAGAACTAAATTATAAATAGAAATATGAGATTCAAGCTTCAGGCTAAAATGAGTTGGTTAATCCAGTACATACTGTTGGACAGACTATGAGTCAGAAGAGTATCAAAAAAAGAAAAAATAAAAAGTTTGCACAGAAATTCTACTTAAAAAGGGATATAAAAAAAACAATCTAATATTAATATACTAATATTACTAATATTAAATATGTTGCAAAGTAGAAAATTCGTTTTGTTAGCATAAAATGCAAAAATGTTGCAGAAACTTGCAAATTGTATGTCCTGTAATAAATTTAGTTACTCATAGTCAACCTACAGAAGACTTAGAGGCTAAATTAATATATAAACATGATATCAACTGCTGCTACCGCCAAATATAGAAGAGGTAAACACTATCATCGCTCAACTGGCACTCAAATACATCCGCTGTCATATAAGTTGTGCTAATTAAACACGAATGTTTATAAAAATATTGTTTTCCCAACTTAACTTACTTTCCATTCTATGTTACTTTATGCAGTAATTATTTCTATTGATTTCATTGATTTCACTAAACTTTTTATTTCCTTTGGTTATTCTTTTCTATATTCCAATCTACATTTTTTAAATAATTTTACTATTTTTATTAGCGCAATTTAAACTATGGAATGAGCTTAAACAACCGAGGTAAAGCATCTCTTGTAATCAACTTGCTGAAAATCAGACTGATATAGTCCTTGCTTACTTCAAGTTGACACACGACCCTCGAGAGTAACTTATTTTTTCAGGCCTCAAGATTATGAGATGTAAATCTATTATATGAAATAAATTTCTTCTTAATAGAGAAGGTAGCGGTATTTAGCTGGTTGACATACTCGCGAAATATAGCTGACATTACCATGAATCAGGAAAGGTGATAAATTAGGTAGGGCTGAGCTAATCTTACTTTTGTACAACCCAAATTACCATATACAAGTTAAGTGCTAATTTTGTGGACGAATAGAGATTATATTCTTTTATTTCAAGGTTCACACCATTGATTGAGTGTATGATAGTTAAATACAAACCTACCTCGTTATATGCTTTAAATTCAATCTGAAAAAGTTGAATAAAAGTTGACCCCATAACGAATCAATTTTTTTGGTGCATAATATAGTTGGGTCATATAATGGTACATGATATGAAACTTAACGAAAGTTAACTAACGTAACAGCGTTTAAGCGAATATATTAGACCGCGAGTAAAAAAAAAGTGTCACAATGAAAAAGATTCGTTTAAATTATATGCAGAAGAGAAACAATTTATTTATAAGTGAAATCTATATTTATTATTATTATTTATTTATCTATATTTATAATACAATATTTTCAAGTTGCCAAACATGCACTGCTTTTTTTACATAGTATCATACCAGTGTTGTCCCATGCGTCTTGATATAGTATTGTAGGTTTCATATGTCTGTTTATTAATATTTTAATCTGCACTAAGACTGTTACTATATAGTACTGATATCACTTTAAGACTAATAACAGAACAATTAGAGAATCAATATTTCACTGCTTTATATAATGAAGTGATATATCAAATCTCGAAGAGAAAAGGTTGCTTTTAGGAGTCCAATAAACAGGTTTGAGAAGATAATGAGAGATATTATTATAAAGATAAAAAATTCAAATATTCAGCATTGCACTGTTACTTTCAATTGTAGCACAACATAAAATTAAATTTATCTCATCCGTTAGTTTTAAAGTCAGTATTTTCTTAAAAAAGAAAATTATAAAGGATGAAATTTTAAACATATCTCTACTTTAGTATCCTCTCCAGTTCTCTAGCTAATTAACTTATTTCAAAATTAAAAACAAATTAAATCAAAATCTGCTTATGTGTTATGTACTACAATGAAGTAAGAAACTGTAATTTTTCTATTTAATAATTTAATTTAATTTAAATCATCTCATCAGTTGAATTTAAAGTCAGTATCTTCTTAAGAAAAGAAAAATATAATAGATACAGATTAAAAGTCAGAAAATGGAATTTTTAATATGTCGCTACTTCAACACCCTCTTCAGTGCTATAGCCAATTAACTTGTTTCAAAATTAAAAACAAATCAAATCAAAATCTGTTCACGGATTATGTACTACAATAAAGTAATAAACTGTAATTTTTCCACAAATTTAATTTTTTAAATTAAATGTATTTAATAAATACTTAAAAATTACAAATAACCAAAAATCCTTGATATTACTCAACCCCTATGACCTCGAACTTACATGCTATTGCAGCGATAGTAATTCTTCAATCCTGTGTAGATGCATGACATCATGAACGGTGCTGCTGAGTTGTCATCAAAATTTGAGTTGTTATTACCAATTGCAGTTGCTACTCCCGCCGGAATATTATCCATACCATTCTGTTCGTAAGGGGCTGCAAATTCATTTGTACGCTTGCCGTACCGTGAGCCCAAGAAGAATCTGTCATTACGAGGCACTACATTTAAACGTCGCATTTTTGCCGAAGATGCAAAGGCTCCAGATCTGCCATAGCGACTACCCACAAAGAATGAAGGACGTTTATGAACAGTGAGTGCATCTACAATAAGTAAATTACAAATTAAATATACAATAAAATATGGATAATACCAAACACAATGGTTTTATATGACAAAAGTAATAAAAATGCAACATGTGAAAAAAACTTGAAAGAAAAAAACATTATTGAAGGACAAATACATGTACACAGAAAATTACATCAATCACACAAGGACTTGCTTACCTTCATTTTTGTCTTCAGAATTATCGGAAAATTGATCTGTGCCTGTTGCCGATTCAAGCGCACAATGCGCCAACAACGTGCATGTTGCCAATAACAAAAAGCAAATGTGAAGCGACTTTGTGGGATACATTTCGGTCATTGAAGTGGTCTTGAGTTCTGAGGCGGTAAAGAGTTGACGTAGAGCGCCGGTCTGTCAAGTAGTTGACAGGTTAATATACTGGAACCTGTTGGATAGCGATGAGATGATATTCTTATTGGCTAAGAAGGAAACATTTGTGATGTTGTGCTTGTGCAACATCACAAATGCTCACACCAAGTTTCGTATGCAATAAAATGTACATAAAATTTATTTTATATTTATTTAATATATAAAATTTAATAGCATATTTAGTACAACATTTTCGAGCATTTTTACAGTTGTGGTGTCGTATTTATTTTTAGACCCATTATGAATATTTGAATGATAGGATTTAAGTGCTTGTTTCTGCAAGTACTTTCCTGTATGTTCCCGTATGTATAACATATGTATACATATATTGCTTTAATACAATATATGAGCATAAATGTAAATATAAAAATAAATTAAATTAAAAGAATGGTTCACAAAGTACGTCACTCATTGTTCAAGAGAATCGAAAAACAAGAAGGACATCGCAGCTTTTATGCGTTTTATTCAATTTACTTTCATTAATATTTTTTTCCAGCTTAAGTAAATTAACTTTGTTTATTTTTTACATTTTTATAATTGTTGATGTTAACATCATTAGAAGAACTTTTTAAAATTTTCTTCCTTACATATTTGCGGTCCTTTATTGAGCAATTTACACGTGTCCCCTTGAACATTTACATCTGAATTATCTCGCACGACTCTTATAATTTGTGGGAACGACTGAAAATTATGTTATTTACAATGCAGTGAAAAAAATATATTTTTTTTCGTGTTATAAAAAAGGGACAATGACTTTGGGTATTTATAATTTTTTAAATTATGCTCCACATTAAATGACTTCAAAATTTTGTACGTGTTTAAGTACAACATGGCGTATGAGTGTTAGTAATGTGAAATTACTAATATTTACCTAACTTTCCGTGAAAATAATTCACATCGATTAGATGACAACCTAACACAACAAGTTTATTAAAGAGTTATGAATAATATATCTATAAAACAGATTCAAAATTTTTTTCTACAAAGTTTCAGATGCAAAGATTGTGTATGATACCACAAGAAAATCAATAAAATATAATGACTATTGAAAAAAAAGTATTTATTTTCACCCTAAATTATAGACTAATTGAACAAAAGCTAATCAACTTAATAAAGAAAGTTGTAGTAATCCTTTTCACGCGATTAGCAAACTTGTAGAGTAACATATTTGTAGATATAGTGAATAGTAATTATTATATCACACCAAGTACAACAGATATAAATAATGGCAAATCAAACCATTTTTATATAAATTTATCCATTTTTATATAAAAGTTTTGGACTGGTTGTTTAGTTTCAAAACAGAAAAGAAATATCGGAAAAAAGGTCATGTCACCAATGTTTTCTGGGATACAAAAGAAGTTGTATTGATTGATTTTTCAGATAAAGGCAAAACAATTATATCTGAATATTATTGCAAGCTTTTGGACCAGTTAGATAAAAAAATTGTTGAAAAAAACCCGCCTTACAGAAGAAATACAAATTTTTCATCAAGACAATGCGCGGGTTCACACGAGTATTTTGACGAAATTTAATTTAAGTACCGTATTCTCCATATTTGGCTCTCTCTGACTCTAACCTCTGTAGAAATTTGAAGTTGGTTCTTCGTGGAAAGCGTTTTCCGTCAAATGAAGAAGCCTTTACAGCCCTGGAACAGTATTTTGTAGAGCTTCCAGATAATCATTACAGAGACATTGAAGTTACGAGAGACCATTTTGAATACAAATACTATTTTTATTAAAAAATTCACATCTTTTCATTTTTGCTTTTAAAATTTTTTAACCAATCTGTATATTATTAATATTGTTAATTGTTTTTTTTTCATTAAATGTTTAATACATCGCAAATATTTGTTCACAATTAATCTTTTTAAAAATAAATCCCTGATGATGATTACCATTTTCAGTAAAAATTTTCCTTGTTCAAACTCATAATTTTTCTGACATCTTCAAATTTGAATCCTCCACATATTGCTTGGTACTCTGTTAAGTTTTTATTAAAGTTGCACTGATTTCTAAATTATCAGTAATTTTGTTTTATAATAAAACATGGACCTAAACTGGATCATAAGCTCTAGGTGTTCTTTTAATGTTTTCTCCGGAAGCGTTTTTGGACTTTGCATGTTTTTGAAGCGTGTTTAGCCCGTTTGCGAGCAATAACTGGTTTCGAATTCAACTTATCTGTAGACTCAACGACTTCGATAATATTACATACTGTCCCATAAGCACTTGATTTAGCCAATTGGGTCGTGACCAACTCCTTAAGATCCTCATGTTTTTCAATCTTATGATAGGACTTCTCACCATAATTTTCTTCAGCTGTCAAATTTAATATACTTTCACTCTTATACGTGTATTTATCGTCCAGACGAAGGCACGTAGCAGCCTTTGCTATATTGAATTTTCGTTTTTTTGGTGCTCGGACTTTCTTAATACGATTTAAATTGCGTTTTAACCAAACCTTTTTGTTGTGAGCTAAATCCATGTATGGCTTCTTTTGCTTATATGTCATAAAATTCCAATTAGAAATAGCAAATTGACGCAGAAGGGATTCATCATTTGGGCATCTTTTTAATTGATTACATTGAAATTTTGATAAGCGTATCGCTTTAACTTGCCGATTACTTATATCAATTTTTTTTGTTACTACTGCTCGGGAGATAATTTTGAAGTGATTCAAATAATTTGCGAGTTCATTAATAGAAATAATGTCAACTTTCTGCTTACGAAGAATTTTGGTCCATGTTTTGTTACGAATGTACCGGTATGATTTCTCAGTATGCTTGGAGTTCTTGAAATGGGATTTGAAATAACCCTTAATGTGGTTGAAAATATGTACAACCATTGCACAAATATTAAAATGTACATATAAATAAACTTCTTAACTGATTTTGAACTTATTTCAAAAACATTACTGGCAAACTAACTATTTAAAAAGTATAAAACATACGATATCAAACTTGAAAAATTAAAAAGATACATTATGATACATATGTATATTTTTTTAAAAGTCATGGATATCTCTATAATATTTTTATATAATGTGTACGTATATTGTTTCAGAAACAGTAATTGAACTGTTTAATATGTTATAAAATGTTTATCCCATAAATGATTAAACTTCGATAGTATATCTGTGTATAGGTTTTGTATGAAAAATGCTGCAAATTTGACGAGTTAATTGTAAGAGAAGCCGTAATTTTTCTTTCAGAGCAACAAAAAAATACTCGCAACTTACGAAAGAAAACATGTGAAGCAACAACAAGTATATTTTTTTGATATGAATGTTCCAAATTAACATGCAAAGCAAAAACAAAAATCGCAAAGATAAGCTCACATTCCTTAAACCGCTTAACGAATAAGTCACTCGCATTACAATGGTACCAAATCTTAAAACTGATCTATTGTGAATGATTTTTGAAAGAAAATGTAAATAAAATTCCAGTCAGATGACAAAGGGGTTTGTTTATTATTTATAACAGTTGCGTGTGTTAATTAGTAAATTTAAATATTTTTAAAAAATATTTTTTTTAATAAACATTTTGTGAAGATGATTGACAGATTAGTAATTGTGTGTCGTTAATTATTTATTAAAGAATTTATAATTTCTGTAATACGCATATAGAATATACAGTAAGAATAAATACAAAACAAAATCGTTAAAATATAAGCAAAATATTATGAGACAATTTTAAGAAAAATAAAACAATCTTAAATACTACTCATTTAGTAGTAACTAGTGATGTTAGAAGTTTGAAAATTATATAAACGAATTTATTCACGATCTCGTATTGCCTATATGTATATTTATATTAAAAACTTTGTTATAAAATTCAATCGCATATTTTTTTTAATTTTTTTTACGTGTCATATGTTTATTTTATGGTTATTTATTTTTAAGCACCAAAAGTTGCGGCCAAATTAAATAGTTAGTCTATTGTGAATGTTCACTGGAAATATGTTGCAAAATTTCTATCATTCGTAAAAATCGTAGGAGCATTTTATTTACTAATAAATTTAAATATATTAATAAATAAATTAATTTCAGTACTATAATCCTCATTGCAGAAGTTGTGGAAGCTCGCAGAAGAAAGAAACTATAATACATGTTTTCTGTGAATGCCCGGCTTTGGCGTCCAGAAGTTATAGGTTCTTAGAAAGATATTTCTTTGATAGTTTATTAGACTGTTCATCGGTGAAGACGAAAGACCTATTGAATTATCTAAATACAGTGCGATGGATTTAGTCTGTACTCTTCTCTACTAGGGTTCTTGTGAGGAATATGGTAGCAAAACGGCGAAAAATCGCTAATTTAGGTACATGGAAGTTATCTAGTGGCCTGCCACTGCAAACAACTAATCGCCAAACATATAAAATAAAAATGCTTACCGTTGCCATAAATTTTTAGTGTTTACAATTTTTATATTTCATAAAAATTGTTGATTAATATACCTAGATTCATATATGTATATATATATCTAATAACACTTTCGCAATTTTTAACAATATATTTTTTTTCTGTGCCAACTCTGTCTACAAGAGCGCTGTTATCTTTATGTACTTTACATATATGGTGTCCCAGTTTGTTTATTTCTGGGTCATCTATGCCAACAAGTGCGTAATAATTCTAATATAGATTTCTTATCAACTTTCACTATTTTTACTGTTTAGTTTTTTTTTTGTTTATTTTTGTTAGAATTTAATTATGAATGGTTTCATTTTTCAAAACTTAAAAGCGCTAATTATACAATGCGGAAATAACAATTATAAATGAAGTTAGCATTTGGAAGGATCGCAATGTGACACAAGTTATCCACGCTTCGTTACGCCAACTCTGAACTCTTTGTAATGCGCCCAGCAGTCTTTGCCAAACGGACATATGCTCAATGCACACACTTGAGGTTATATATATGTGGCTGTCCCCATCCTCCGTACACGAATGTTTTGAATTTAATTACACATTATTGTTTATACACAAAGGGGACATACAATGTTGTTTTTGATGTTGTTTTTTTTT